AAAATAAATCCAAACCCGCCTTCGTATGTACAAAATTTCTTAGTCAGAAGGAGAATGTTATTGCCAAGGAAACCAAAGCAACTGCTGAACACTAAATTCAGCTCTTTAAAAAAATTTCATAATAATTTATTCTGCTGAATATTACATCTTACTTCAGCTTTTACAAAAGCCAATAAAATGGTTTCATTGAAGTCTTTGAAATTTGATTTATGATGTCACTAGCATTTACTAACATTCAGGTTATAGAGTCTAGTACAGTGAAAATTAAAGATCAAATGACTGGGTTCTAGTCCCAACACTACCACTTAAAAGCCATATATCCTTGAGCAAGCCATTTTCCTTTTCTGAAACTAAGTTTCTTTACTCGTAAAAATGGGGATAAGTACTACCTTGCCTGCCTACGCAGGATTGCTGTGAATATCACATGAGATTGAAGTCATTTTATTAAATTTGAAACACTACACAAATAAATTCAAGTAATAAGTACAAATATTTCCCAAAATTAATAAAGCCATCTGTATTCTGCATTCTTCATTGATTAAATGCCAAATTAAGTAAAGTAATAGAAAAATGTGAACCAAACAATGTAATATAAACTATTATTGTAAAAACTGGATTAAACCAGGTGGCAGCTCCAAGCTCTGGTCCAGGCTCTCTCACAATTAATAATTTCCACAAATTCTTTGGGTCTCTCTCTACACAATGAAGTTGGACTAGACCACCTTTGCAGAGTTGCTTCATGGGTGTATTTTCCATCACACAATGATTTCAAAGGGAATTCATTCACCACTTTTTTTTTTTTTTTTAAGGCGAGGCAACCCTTGGTTGACCTCACAGATTGCAAGGACCTTGTCAGCTTACAATTCCTTATTTTTTTTATTTTTTACGCCTACAGCACCTGGTCTTCCTAGGTGGTCTCCCATCCAAGTACTAACCAGGCCCGATCTTGCTTAGCTTCTGAGACACTACTTTTTTATCTGGGCTATATTTTGCTTGAAAAAATTTCATTGCTAAATGGCTTAGACTGAAGTCTCTTATTTCTATTTTCTGGCATTTCATAATCCTAACCTAACCTAATCTGTCTTTAACTTTACATTCTACTCTTTCTCAACACAGATCTAAATTCTGAGACTAGAATGTTCTCCTCGCTATTTCTCAAAATGCCATGGACAAGTCCTTGTTGTTTATATTGTTGTCAATATATAGTGGTTGCGGCTACAGCTCAGTCCTGTATCCTGTTTCACTCCCACCCAAACTTGGCCAGTGCTTAACATCTTGGATATAAGTTTGCTTTCAAAAGTTAAAATATACACTAGATCAGAAACAGGAGATAGTTGTCATTTTAAAACAGGTTGGTTTCTAGGCCAGCAGGACTTAGCTGTAATTTGATAGAATGCATGAAAGCATCAGACAAAAGAAATAGCAGGCAAAGTGAAAGCCTTTGTCAGCCCTAGAGCATAGAAGGGAGAGTGCACTGTAGAAGAGTCATCTGTACTCCCTGGAGGAGGAATACCTTGATCCATGGACTTCTTGAGTTCTAGTGGTAGGACCGTCCTATCAGAGAGATGGATGAATTCCTTTATTTATTACAGGCTGATGCTGTTAAACACTTATGCCATGTATTTGACTTGTGATTTGATTTTGTAATCACTAATAATCTTCTGATTCTACCCTTATGGTGCATCTAGAAAATGCCTTGACTAGAGACAAATCCACTTATGTCTGCACCAATAATTACTAAAATAATATTCTGAATTTAAACATCAGCTTCTGCAACTTTAAGTAGGGTGAGTCTGTCCTGAAACAAGATAGAATAACAAATTAGTCTGAAAGCACAGGAACCAAAGGTCAGATCCTGGATTATGGTAAATTTACCAACAGAATGCCCCCCATAGACACTATATAGGATACCTCAGACTTCTCCAATAAACACCCTGTCTTGTTGCACTATTTTCTTTTTAAGACACATAGAGCTTTATTTATTCAAATCCACTAAAAACATACTATAGTTAACTCAAACAACATGGGTGTTAGGGGCACCAAACTCCCCAACTCCCCTGCCTCAAAGTTGAAAATCAACATATTACTTTTGACTTCTCAAAGGTTAACAACTAAGAGCCTACTGTTGACAGCGCCTTACTGATAAAGTTGATTAACACATATTTTGTATGTATATGTATTATATACTGTATTTTTACAATAAAATAAGCTAGAGAAAATAAAATATTATTAAGAAAATCATAAGAGAAAAATACATTTACAGTACTGCATGTATTTATTGAAAAAAAATCTGCATATAAGTGGACCCACACAGTTCAAATCCACGATGTTCGAGGATCAACTGTAAAGCCTTTCTTTGACCCGGTCTCTACATGCCTTTCCAACAATTTCTCTCTATGTACCCCAAGCTACAGCAGAAACAAATGTTCTAAGTACACACATTAAAGTTTCAATCTCTGCTTGGAACAATCTTTCTCTCCATGTCAGCAAGTCTAAATTTTAACTCATTCTGAAAGTTCAGCACAAATAACACCTTTCTCATGAAGACTTTTCAAAGTACACCACACCACCAAGGCTAAAACTAGCAATTTTGGTGACCGAGGCAAGTAGCGAATTGCTCTCAGATCAATTTATAACTTATTATGTGCCTTACTAGAGTCATTACGAATCAGTGGCATTTGGTAGATTCCTTTTTTCATTAACTAGGTAATAATCAAGTATTAAACTCAGTTGCTCTATGCAAAAAAACTACATATGCAGCCAATGTGTAATGTAATAAATGCTGTTAAGTCTGATCTATTATTTTACATTTCTGCACTCTCCATGTTAGTGCCCTGAGACCTAGCCTAGCTTACCTACGCTATCAATCTACAGCAGAAACACCTTTACTTACCAATTAAAAATGTTTTCTCCCATTGAGGGATTAATTAAGCAATCACTTATAATTTTTATTAAATTATTAAAATTATTTAAATCCATTCCTCTGTTAAGGACACTTATTACTTGCTCCATGTATTACATTTGTGTGCTTTTATTGTCCCTTCGATGTTCTTTAAAGATATGCTCCATATCTATTTCATCTTTGTACCTCTCACAGGTTTTTCAGCCAGTATATAGAGGGCACTTTAAATATAAATTAAGAATTTCTCTTCTACTTCTAATGAAGGCCCTCTTCATTATATATATATATAATGCAACCACATTCATTTACTGACAATATCTGTGAAAGCAGACGGCTTTAAACAAAAACAGTTGACTATATTAATCATATAAGGATATCATTCATTTGTAATTTGTTAGTTTTCTCTGCTGAAGACATTTACATAGTCAGTTTGAGGTATATATCATTTTACTGTATGCTAAGCCTTAGCTCTTTTATTTCGATCGCCTTCTTAATGGACTAAAGGCAGAAGAGCAATCTTTCAGTCTTCATTTCTTTTGTATCCTTCCACAGCAAGGAACTATATTCATAGCAGACATTTACTGGCAAAATGGCTTTAAAGTTATTTGCATTTTGAGCAACTTCATGTTAAACAAACTTGATTAAACAATTACATATATATAAGCAAATCCTACAATAAGAGATTTAGTTCTCTAGTATATCAATCAGAACACTCCAGAGTCTTGCTACTCAAAGTGTGGTCCACAGACCAGCAGCATTAGTAACACCTGGGAGCTCATTCTAAGGCGAAATCTCAGGCCCCACCCCAGGCCTCCTAAAGCAGAATCTGCATTTTAAGATCCCTAGGTGATCTGTAAGCCTTTCAAAGTTTGAGAAGCACTGGTTTAGACTCCAGAGGAAGAATTAGAATGTGCAAGATGCATAGGACTAAGTAATACTAATTCATTCATGACTGCTTATTTGTTGGTCTTCCTTATCTGCTAACTGAATGCTTGTTGTGAGTATTTGCAACAAGCTGTCTTCCTCACCACTAATATTCCCTAGGCCTAACAGAGCCTGGAATATTAACCAGTTCTCGATAAATTTTTTTTGTTGAATGTATGACTGAACGAACTAAGTGAAAATAAAACTTTTTCAAAAAGCTAATCCTTTAGGAAATTGTACATGATTTCACATACTACCATACTAATTCTTTAATTCAGTATTATTAATTCCATTTTAAATATGCTGCCTTCTTGACTTCAACAAATGCATTTAATGTATTCAACACTGCAAAAGCTTGGATCATCTTCCTCTGTTGGAGTCACCAGGTGCCTCTTTTACAAGTGTGATGGTTGCTTTTTAATTCTAGCTCTCACAGATCCATCCCATATGCTTGCACAAGATGAAATCACTGCAAAACTTGGACGATGTGGGGGGAACAGAGGAGGAATGGATAAAGCAAAAACAATTCTGTATCAAGAGCATCATATGAAACCAGGAAAACATGATTTTTTGAACAGGATACTTCCATGAAACAATTCCCATCAAGAGAAAGAAAGAGGTAAGAGAACCCTTACCTTTCTCGAGTGCAAAAGGTGATACTAGAGAATACCAGGGTATGATGAAAGACCAGCGACTACCTAGCGACGGAAGGTGGAAACACCAGACCAGAAAGAACTAAAGCCGACAGCGGTTAGAAACGTCCAAGGGTGCCAAAAACCACTTTTAGGTTTTCAGAAAAGGAAGTCAAGGGAGAAGAAAAGAGAAAGGAAATGCCTATATGGCGGATATAACTTACAATGATGATGATGAATAATTTTTTTTTTTTTTTTTTTTGAGAAAGAGATGACATGCACTTGAAGTGGAGGGAGGGGAGGGAGAAAGGTTGCAATTTAGCTCACTGCAAAAGGACGAGACTAAAGGAGTCCCTGCCCAGCTCAGACGGTCCCAGTGGGTAGCACAGGCATAGGTAGTTGGCAACGCCCGGCTCCGCCCGGCGGCCTGAACCATCTCCTCTGCAGTCTGCCGAGCACCGGGTGGGGACTGGAAAGGGCGGACTGTGTGTGCGAGGATGTGCAGGAGGAGCGGAAGGATGCCAGGGTGACCTGATACCCACCTTATCCCAACGGAGCCACTGCCCAATGGCCGTGTCTAGCTGAGGGTCCCCGGTGTGGTAGGAGGCGTGGAGCAGGTTGGAGTTCAGGTCTCCTTCTGCGTTTTCAGCCATAGCAGCCACACTGGGTGTGCAGGCCAGGGGGAGGCCGACGAAGACACCGAGTTGAGGGGGGCCCTGAGGTGCGCTCACCACGGTCCCGACGCCCCCTTCTCACTGAAGGGCATCAGAAACCAACCATAGGATGTTTGCGCCAGCTTCTGCCGCGGCTTTGGGGAAGCAGGAGAGAAGGGAGATGCGGCCGCCCGCTTCTCACCAGACCAGCTCCTGGTCTCTCTCTGGGTGAACCGACTGAGGCGGTCCCGCCGCGAGAAAACAACAACAGTCCCAGATGTCTGGTCTTGGCCGTGGCCGCTGCCGCCGCCGCCGCCCTGGCCACCTTAGGCCCCGCCCCTTGCGCAGCTGGCCCCGCCCCTTCCCACCCCTGCTGACTTAAGCCCCTGGGGCGTGAAGCGCGAGCCGGGAGGCTCGCTCCCGACGTCTCCGCAGTAGGGGGAGTTAGGGTCTGCCAGAGTGGGTAAGAAATGGGGCACGGCTCTTTTTATTTTTTAATTTGCCTTTTGCCACGGGTCTTATCCTTGTTACAATCCCACGCTCCCATGCTTCTCCTCTTCTCCGTCGGCCACCTCGGGCGCCCCACCAGTTTCAGCTTGGGGCACGCGGCTGGCGGGGGGTGCGCGAGGCTGTCCCGCACGGCCTTTCGGGAGCTGTAGTTCTTTTCTTCCCCCAAAGGTCTACGGATACCGCCACAAGGACTACGAGTCCCAGTAGCTCCGCGCCGTCCTCGTCCTCAAAGGAAAAAGATCTGCCTGGAGGCTGTTCCCCCAAAACACGCCCTGTCCTTGGTAGTCAGGCTGCTCCTTGTGTTCCTGGGCTTAAATTAAACAAGGAGTGATATAGTAAGGAGACCACAGGTATCCATTTAGTGCTTTACAGTTTACGAATCATGTCCTATTGCTTCAACCCCGCTGTGAAGTAGGTGGGCGTGACCCATCCCCATTTTACACACAAAGAGGCAACTACCTCTGTGAGAGAACCTACTTTTTCAAAGAGGCGAAATTCGTAAGTGATGGAATCTGGGTTCTAACCTGGCTTCAGATTTCCTAGGCTGGCAATTCTTTTTGCTCTACTGCTAGAGTGAACGAGGGGGTAGAGAGAACAAGATGACTGAAAAATAGACGATTCGTGAAGGAGGTTAGATGGGTCAGCATTTAACCAAAAAAAAAGTAACATTTTATAGGCGTCAATAATTGAGAGGTACACAGAACAATGACAATAGGAATATAGAGGAAGAAGAAAGATTATTGAGATAATTTTAAATTACTTATTTTAGCCTCCTTTTCTATGGAATGTTTACCTTTCAGGTCACAACGAGGTCTGAGAGATGCTGATAAGTGCTTACCTGTCACTCATTTGCTCCTGAGTTTCTTGGTTTGGTCTCCTTCAATTGCACTATGATTTTGATGAAGTATCTTACAACTC